CAAGGACGTGTTCGTTCTTACTTTTTACTTCGGCCCACGTCCATTCCTGCTTCAAGCCTTAGTCTCATTCTAAGACGGCGTGGCTGTACTTGATGGCATGTTGCAGTTAGAAAAGCAACTTGCATCGTTAACCTCCTGCAATATGAAGGGACCAGGATCCAGTTTTTCCATGTTTTTAAAGGTGGGCTCCTGTACGCTGACAAAATGTCGCTCAACTATATTACAGTCAGAATGACGCCATGAAGAGTTCGTATCAATCAACAGTGATAAATATTATTACTTTCTAATGAAGGCTCAGTTGACATCATACTCAGAGTATGTCTCAGGATCTATTAATGATAGCCTCCTTTTCGCCCGCTACACCAGCATTCAGTGACTTTTATGCAGAAGTAGTGTTCAAGGGAATGGTTAAGTGACTGGTGGAAGTAATCAATATCCAAGAAGGTAAAATTCCTTTCTGAGACAAGAGAGCCTTTTTCTGCCTCCTAATTATGCTTTTCGCAATCCGATAGCATTAGACTATCTTCCTGTAATTGGGAAATTGGTCTTTTACGCATTTCCACAAATTCTTTAAAAAAAGTTATTTTTTCCATTCTATGGCAGAACTGTTTAACGGTTATCTTGGTGCATTAAATAACTTTCACGCGTTCAGTCCGTTAAGTGAACTAGCCAAACGGTCCAAGCGCCAGACGCTGAGCCGACAATTGGTTGTTAGAGCACAATATAGTGGCTTGGAACATCATCAGTCGGCCATATTCATGTGATACAAGCAATCGGAACCTTTTGGACCAATCGCCTTTTGAAAGAAGCCAAAAACAAATATTGCCAGTCCGTGTCAGTGGTTTCTAAACAGCATGCTGAGGTATTAAGAGGGGGAAGCGTAACGGGTTTGCGGGATCATTCTTCCATTTTGCTGCCTGCAGTTCTTGTAAAATATTGACTGGAATAAGTTTGGGAATAAACCGTTCGTCAGTATGCAGGTGCTTGTCTTCGGGTGATATTTGTGGGGCTAAGGACAATAGAGACATGAATGCAGCTCACGTAATCGCGAAGAGCTAGAGGAAAAATTTAAGGCGCAGGCCAACGCGATACACTCATGATGCTTCACTCTCATATCCAGTATACAATATGGAAAAACCAATGTACCTTACAAATACACAGAAAATTTGTGTCTTTCTAGAGAGTGTAGGAGTTCTCAAAATAGCGCTCCTAATACTGTCTGAAGTAATCAGGTTTTCGAACAGAACACAGCCATAAGACAGTCTTGTTACTAATTATGGTGCATGTATGACACAGTTCGAAGGTCAACGGCCCAAGGGTCCCCTAGAAGGTATATACCTGTGCCTGACTAGCTTATACACTAGCACATTCATTTTCTGTGACTTTAGCCTAGTCATGACGAGCAGAGTTAAGGTGAATGTATTGTCTTCTATTGGGTGCCTGGACGGCTTTCCAAGAACACCCCTAAGAAGAGACCCCACAGTTCAGTTCCCTCGATCGGTGTCACTTGTTAGGATGGATCACCATACACATCAGTAAAGCATGCGATAGTGCTCCGGTTTATGCAATAAGGCTGTCCTAAGTCATGAAGAGGTAACTGGAGAACAAAGAATCAAAAACTGAGTTTCGGAATTAGAAATGTAGGTTTGCCCTAGACGGCGCATGAATATACATTTGGTGAAGAAAACAACAAAATCATTTTTTTGTTAACCAGTGCCACTATACACCCTGAATGTTTGTGCTAGCTTTGACCCAGAGGGAACTTCCCAGCTAGAGAGAAGAAAATAGCACCTACCAGGATGATGGGGCATGTGCCGCAGTGTCAGGAAAAAGTTGAACAACTTAACAACTGATATGGCCATGTTAAACAAAAACAACATGGGTACACGCGATGGGGAAAACAGCTGACACCAATCCAGAATGGCAAAAAATGTGCGAAACCCGAAGCAGTACTTACAGCGGGAAGCTGGGAGTATTTAATCTATCGTTGGGAGTAACAGAATGACAAGCGTGTCAGGTTCGAGGACCTGCAGCTCAAGCTGCGTAGAGTTCTCCAACCATCTTCTTTGGCATTTCAGGTCAGTGGTTTGGATATTAGTGGTCCTTAGGCTACCCGCCTATTTGACTTTAGTTTAGATGTAATGCACACATAAACACACCGGATTAAATAATGCCAAGAATCGCTCCAAAATCCAAGTGTAAGATAACTGCTGATCATTATTTTTCAGTAGCTCCTCTAAATTCCTAAAACAGGAATACATTTTGAGATTATGAGTCTGCCGACTGCTTTCTCTTATCGTGGAGTTTCTGTTGTATTTTGAAGCTAGTCATCAGTTGCTATAGGAAAGCCATAGCTGGATAGCATCCTTCAGTTCCATCTAGTTCAGTAGGATCTACGGGATAGACTGAGGAAAATTAAATTTTGCAATAAATGACTCGTCTGACTTCGCTTCAACATTTCAGTATCTTTCACCCTTTGTAACACCGACACTTTTGAGCTGGGTAAATAAGCTCTTTACAGTATAAACATGTTCTTCATGGTACCGTTCTTCCCTTCTTCGTTCGGCTGCGTTCGCTGAAATTAAGGCACGTCACAATCTGGCTACATTTATTTAACGGAAGCTGCTCATGTCGAACGTACAATTGGTTCAGTGGCGTGAGTTAGCTTAGATGAACACCAACCCAGAATACAGATAACCGAAACCATCGAGCGACAGTATCAGCTTTCGTTTATCCCTCTCGGCAACCGCACAATTGTAGATCCAATCAGAAACCCATACTCAGGTTTCTCTCGGCACAAACAAGTGGAGCATCAACCAGCGTGACACAAAATGAGACCAGAATAAGCGTTTGTCAACCTGTGACTACTAGAAACCTGGTATTCGTTTGCACTGATTGAATTTTAGTCGCTGACTACTGCTGACACATGAGATAAAAGGTCCTGGTGATACTGAAAGCACCCAGTCTGCCTACAATCTGATGCACAGCTAACTGCCTCACACTTCATTGAATTTCCCAGCATTAACACCAAGTTCCACTTGTGTCATAGTTGCTATCGCACATCAAAGCATCCTTCCTTGATTGTGCAAACTTCAAAACAAAAGTGGGCGCCTGTCTCAAATTTTCTGGTTTCATTTCCGAAGCTTCCAAGAAATCCGTGTCAAGGATTCGTTGGGACATTGGAGTAATGCAACGACCTTTATTGAATGAATAATACAAAATGGTGGCTGGCATTTTGGACAAGTAGTTGCCAGATAGAAGGCAAGGTAAGTCGCAGGGCACTGAGTACTGGTTGAAAGCCAGGTGATGGGATAGGTCACCGATTTGATGACTAAAGTAGATATCCAATCACCGTTGATTATAATGGCACTCAACCTCGTCTACGCGTCGCATAAACGACAGATTCAGGTGAACTCATTTGAGCCCACAGTTAAAACCGAATTGGTGTGCAAATGGGAGTATTTGTTAGCGAACCCAGCTGAATCTCTGGTTTGTGATGTTTCCAGGTCGTGGGCTGTCGACGGATTTTCAGCAACCTTATGAGTATTGCAATACGAACATACGATATCTTGAACATCGTAGCGAGTGAAACATGAGGCGGCCTGGTTCGGCTCATTCATTTGCCTGGAAACATCACAGACTAGAGGTTTAGCTTGGTTCCAGGTGAGTCTCTCGCGAAACCAAATTAGTTTACAAATGGGTGTATTTCGCTGATTTCCTGCAATTTGGTTTCAAGTAGAACATAAGTTTGACGAAAACTCGGGGACTGCGCCTACCTGATGAGCCCCAAGGGCGAAATCGGTCGTAATCTATCAAAGAATTCTCAGCAACTTTATGAGTAGTGCAATGCAAATGACGGTATTCGTTAGTTAACCTCGTTCACGACTCAGAGAGTTCAACACATCCGGTAGCGATTCGCCATCACAGAAAGCACTATCAGACAGGACAGATTGGTTGACAGTGATATACTTTCGATGCTTAGCTTCCGTGTCCTCTGAAGGTAACACAAAGGTTGAGATACTGTCAGTCGACTCAACCTGTCGAGAGGTTGGGTTCGAACCACAGACATTCCAGTCATTAAAGTTACACCTTGAACACTAGTTTATATTGAGCAGCCATTCGACTGTAATCAGTTGATTTCACATATCCTGCTTTATTCTGAGATCACAATTAGGTCAAGCGATCACAGACAACAATAATTAGGATTGATACAATTAATTAAAGGACCGGAATTCTTGGTTGTTATCGACTGAAACTTAGGGGAAACTGCGTTGACTGGGTCATCGTCGATGACTTACTTTTCTTAGCTGTTAGCTCAGGTTGGTTATTCCAAGGAGAGCTTAGTCTGCCAGAACGATAGCAGGCCGATTATTGTCTAAACCTGAAAGGGAAAGANTTGATTCCGCCTTCGAACAACAACATCCCGGATTACTTGTCTGAAAGAATCTGTTTACAATCGTACTTGAGGCCGACTGGTAGGGTGTACGAATCAGCATTCTGATAAATGAATGAAAGCCCTTTGCCGCGGGATAATTCGTTGAAAGCATGAACTAAGCAGACATAAGTCATTAGACACGAGAGTAAACACATCATCTGCACAGAGTCATTGAAAAGTGGACATTCCCAAGCGACTTCTAAATCTTTTTCGTGGGTTCACCGACTGTTAAACAATGAAAAACGAACATTTCAAAGCAGTTCCGTAAGTTCCGTGATAAGTTTCACCTTCCAATCAGATGCTGGGTGGACCTTGGAGATCACACCATAGGCTACTCGCACGTTTCACCAGTAGTATACACCGTCACACTTGTAAGGTTGCTGAAAGTTCTTCGACAGCCCATGACCGGTTTCGCTTGTTTTAGGGCTCATCCAGCAGTCTGGTGCAAACCATCATAAAGGAGATATTCAGTTAGATTCTGTTGAGTTCTCAGTCAAAGCTAAATTCTTCTGCAAACGAGAGTACACGTCGAAATACCAAACCGACTTCTAGTAGTATTGTTACACAAGCAATAAGGTTTACTGGAAAAAAATAAGCCTTTGATGCGGACAACTGCACGTATTTCTGTGACCAGCGCGAAACCAGAGCGAAAAATTGCGTGTATCTGACCGAAAACTAGAACAGACTGTTAAAAGCACAACAGATGAGATTTCCACCCATTCGTGACGTACCATTTTGCGTTTGCCATTGAAAGACACTTCGTCATATTATTCCCATGCAAAATAATTAGTTTGTTTCAAATGTAGGTGAGAGACACAATATAGACAAAAGACGTAACCTCCTGCAATACAATAACGCCTTGTTTCAATTTATGCCATTCATTCATACTGAGGCGATTCCGACCAGATAGGAAGGCCAGCGAACAGTCCTCTAAACGAAAAAAGTTGGGGGACTTACTCAGATAAATGTTTTTACCTTTTTCAAAAGTAAATCGTCAACTTAAGACCATAATATATGGGACCAAGCAAACGTACCGTGTTCAGTTCCATACTGGTGAGTGTCTGCATAAAAAAGATCAATAAAAGGTGAAAACATCTTGTCTACGGCGATCGAACCGAATAGATGGGAATCTTCTCCACCAAATTTTGATTAACAAAGCTTCCGTCCAGAGCTGTCACTGGATGGCGGTCCCAGGACAAACAGTATTGTGAATGCTCCCTTGAGATCAGCCACATGATCTTTTGCAGTCACATTGAGAATCCGTAGATCTTTTTATGCGATTGAATGATGCAGTTCTTCTTTCCCCTCGCTTTGAACAGACAAACCGGGATGGTCTCAGAAGCTAGTTGAACTAAACGCTGTTTTTCCTCTGCACGCAGGTGAAATGTTAAATGATATACCACAGAATATCCCGGAAAACTAAATTACCGATATCGAGAAATACACTCATTTGCAAATCAATTTGGTTTTCAAGAGAGACTCACCCGAATGTCTCGTTTATGATATTTCACAACTGAATGTGCTGCACACAGGCCGCCTCATGATTCATGGCACGATATTCGATATATCGCAGTATATTTTCATACAGGAAACTACTCACAAGGTTGCTGAAAACTCTTCGAAGAATAGTTTTGAAGGCCGATAGCGGTGGTCACAAGGATAAACATATTAATACAGAGTTGGTTTAACGGGGTAAATTGTTATCTACATGAAAACCGGTAAAAGGTAAACGAAGTTGCATATTCTTTTTGAAGACTCACCCGAATCTCTCGTTTATGATATTTCACAACTGAATGTGCTGCACACAGGCCGCCTCATGATTCATGGCACGATATTCGATATATCGCAGTATATTTTCATACAGGAAACTACTCACAAGGTTGCTGAAAACTCTTCGAAGAATAGTTTTGAAGGCCGATAGCGGTGGTCACAAGGATAAACATATTAATACAGAGTTGGTTTAACGGGGTAAATTGTTATCTACATGAAAACCGGTAAAAGGTAAACGAAGTTGCATATTCTTTTTGAAGAACGCCCTCGGGTATCGACCTAATGGATTTCTACGGATAACTGTTGGATAACATGGTTCATAGCTCCGTACTATAAGTTTTCGCAAGCCTAGGATTGTAGTATGATGCCCGAGAATCTCCTTCAGTGTAACATATTAGAATGGTAAGTAATTTAATTTCCAACAACGTCGTTTGGTGATGTGAACAGCCAGAAGTGATAAATCATAATAGGACTCTTCCTCATAAGATACAAAATGAAAGAACATTGGATAAACAGGATTTTCCTGAACTGGCGTTGAGATAGCTCACTGGCTAAGGTGCCAGCTTGTAGACCGGTAAGTTCGTCGCTCAAGTCCAACCTCAGCATCTCGACTGCTCTTGTCTAGGCTTGGGCAACATGGCTCTATCCTGGTCCTTATGCCGCCTTCCATTGGAATAGAAACTAGGCACCGAAAGGGTGCTACAACTGTACAGTCTAATTTTAAGAAAAAATTCATGAATTTTACAGGACTGTCTTAGTCAGTCATTTTAATATAGTAGGGCATCGCTAAAGCGAAGTGACTGGTCTCCGTTGATTTAGCATTCTATCCAAGAAACAGAACAGATAAAGAGGAATTCTAAATATATTCGGAATATATTTGCATAACTATTCGTAGCATTGATGTGTGCAGGATACAAAATGTATGCATTAAAGGAACATCTTGGTACAAGCAGTTACGAAATGCAGTGATATCACTTGATCATTATCTCCATGTCAGTTCATTCGCGTGTGCCTGCGTCAAAAAGCAGAGTCTTACTTCCGCCTCAAAAAGTATTCGCTATTTCCTTTAGGATGTAATTAGCAAAGTTAATTTTGTTGGCCCAAGCCAACTAGTAATTACCCACAAGGTCTGTCGGACTTTACACCTCATAAGGTCTGAAATTTGATGCTTTCGCAAATGTACATTGTTAGCGAATGGTCTATTGGATAAGAAAGGTATCTTCATTATTAGAAAAATGCAAACGACTTTGTAGTCAAATGATCGTTTGGGCGTGATACGGGAACAATAGGAATGATTTCACACTGATTCGATTGAACCAAGGCAAGCAGGTGAGACTCCCACTAGGTATTCACAAAAATGATCAATTTGCCTTGTTAGAGTTACAGCGAAATCAGAGCCAGGATACGACTGTGTCAGGTGTTTTGAAAGTAGGGGACTGACAGAAGAAATCTCACTTTCGGTCGTCGCAGTAGCTGCTGACAAGAAAACTTGTGTGTAGAATCAACTTTATTGAGAGGGTGGTTCAACTAAATCTCTTGTTCATGGTAACCTTCCGCCTTCGTTAACAGTGTCAAACCAGAAAGAGTACTTCGCTATACTGAAGCATCTGTTCACCACATTCACCTGAAGAGTACTGTAGATGAGAGGTTTACTGGAGGCTCCCTTTAATCCAAACTAACGTTTCTGTTAGTTCTCACGCTTGCTCACAAGCCCAACTTAGCTTTCAGGTACGGAATGAAACCGATGGGAACTCGGGGATTAGGCCTAACATAGGAGCGGTAAAATGGTCGAACTGTCAAAATCAATCATGAAAGTAGTGATATTCAGTGTTAAGCTTGTCCTTTAAGCTTATGGGTGCTTCTGTCGATTAACCACAGGATTAGAAAGTGAAACTCTGGGCTATGAGATACCAAAAAACTTAGTACTCCGACAGCCCAGGACCGGTTTCTCCCTTGTTGGGGATCATCAGGTAGGCGCAGCCCCCGAGTTTCCGACAAACTTATGTTCTACTTGAAACCAAATTGCAGGAAATCAGCGAAATACACCCATTTGTAAACTAATTTGGTTTTGCGAGAGACTCACCCGGAGTCCAGCTGAATCTCTCGTTTGTGATGTGTCCAGGCAACTGAATGTGCCACACAAAGCCGTCTCGTGTTTCAGTCGCTACAATATTCGACATATCGTGATACATGTATATTCATAATGCACTACTCGTAAGGAAACACCACAAACAAGGGATTCAGCTTGATTCCAGGTGAGTCTCTCACAAGACCAAATATGTTTGCGAATGAGTGTGTTTTGCTAACTTGGTACTCCCTTTTGTTTGACTAGAATATGTATGGGAAAACACTGCCCTCTGTGCTAGATTGCGTGTACCATGTAAGAGGAACGACAGCTTCTCTCTGTCACCAAAATTTTTCCCTCTGAGTTAGCGCCATCCAGGGCGGCCTCTCTTATCAACGGCACAACCTCGGCTGAAGCACAGGGCTGGATCAGCATGTGTTGCAATCTTCATTACCAGCCATTGTCGTTTCAAGGCACACCACTCCTCAACCTATCATAATGGACGTTTAGGTGACGGTGCCATGCCCTGTTGTTATGTTCTCTGGCAGTAATATCAACGTTGAAGGTATTCACCATTACTTCGAAGCAACGAAAGTTTGATCATTAGAGTTTGCCATATGACAATTGTTTGCGTGTTTTAGTGTCGAGGACGAACGCGTCACTGGAACTTACTCACTTGAAACTGAGGCGTTCACATGGATACGAAATAAGGATCTAAGTTCAACTGGGCTAATCAATGAGAATTAGGCACTTATTAGCCTATTTACCCTCCAGACTCCTTGCATCCCGTTAATCAAAACACAGTGTCTTCCCGTACGATTGATTCAACGATTTATTCCCTGTTTTTGATAGACATGGTGCGCGTGCTGCAAAAATGTTGTCATATCTTTATTGCGAACAGAGGTCTGTTGTGGATGAGAGTTCTACCAGGCTGATATAAGTCGGGTGATTCGGGCGTTTCGCCATAAACAATTAACTCACCTTGACCGGAAATAGTTGTAGGTGGCTGGACCTCGGGAAGAAACTGGCTGGGAGGTCTGCGGACGAAAATATCCCTGTAGAAACGATTGAAACCAAAGCGTCTTTGGGGCAAGCGGATATCAGTCCGGAACTTTGACCGGAGTGAACAAGAAGTAAAAGTCTTCATTCGCCCGTTTGTTTTCTCTGAGTGATCAAAAAATATAAGTGAGCAACTTGTAGTTACAGAATGTTCCTTTCTGTAGGTCCCCCACACAGGGGAATCGCCATAAAACAGGATTTTCATACAAGCTGTAGGTATCGTCTGTTGCTTTGATATTTGAAGTTCCCTATGTTTCTTCTCTCCCTATCTATAGCCTTCGCTGCACCTTCATGTCTAGTGCGTGCACATGAACTGGCGTTGGTTTGTTCCTGCTACTTCACTCATTTGACTTTGAGGTTATCCAGTCATTTGTGGCCGATCACACATACCAGTTCAGTTGTTCAACCTTGAGGTTATCCAGTCATTTTGTGGCCGACCTTACGCATGATCGAGTCTGTTTTGCCGTTGACAAGTCATGTCGTTCAAGGAGCAGCCTTGTTAGCTAGTTTATCGCCAAATCAGTTTAGTATGGGGGATAAGCCTCAGTGAATACTTCACAGGTGCGTAAACAATGGAGATATTCACCTCAGTCTTTCGTCCCTTGAAAGTGTTGACTGACCACGAGTCTTCATGCGCCACAAGTATGTTGATGGGAGGACAAACATTCAAGAATCTCTTTCCACTGATGCTCATTTTGAAGGCAACAACAAACAGGTGTCACACAAACATCAAAGCGATGTTCGACTAAGGTTGAGGAAATCTGAATTTTAAATGAGTTAGAGTTCTCACCCCATCAGTTCAAGAACGACGAATTGATCGAAAAATTAAATGGTAAAATCACAGAGATTTCTTCCAAAGATAATGGTAGTGATCGCCTTGGAATTATTTGAAAGTGAAACGTGTGCGGGACTTAAGGTGGTACAAATCTTGAGTACGTTGTCAAAAGTGTACAATAGTTCTGGCGTGTATGAGTGGGGCGTGTAGAAATCGTTTCTGATTAAGAGTAACCCGTGGAGGAAACTATCTTCACCTGTAATGTACTCAGAAAGTTAAGTACTATGGTTTCGGCTAAGGAATCTTGTTCACTAGGTCACACACACATGATTAATAGGTATTTTCAGGGCCACTGTGCTCTCCGAAATGGGTATACAGCCTCAAGAAAAGGCGAGCGATTCTTTTGCAGAAACTTTTGGCCAACTCCATCTGCAATGGTTCACACGCCTTGTTTTGTAGATACGAAAACCGACTGTATGAACTTTTTATTTCCAGAAGAAACAAAATAGGTTGAGACGGAGCTGTGATCTGTGCATACATGTTCCCAATCACTTTCGCTCATTGATTTTTTGGATGCTTGTTGGAAAAGATTAATGAAATATAAACCCGGGGAGCTGTCGTCCAATTGCGGTTCGCGATACAGTCACTGAACGTAAACCTCTGGAGAGACTTATTCTCATTTTTCATCCACAGAACTTGTGTCATCTCAACGGAAATGTTCATAATCGACTGGCAATAAAAACATATCGGTCTGAATGAATTACATTATATATGAAACCCTTCCGTGTTTAACAATAACGTGTGTGTTCGTCTGGCTTTGATTTATGTTCACTTTTCGTGAAACCGCGCACACTGATGTTCAACCTATTTTGGCCCAATTTAGTAGCCAATTGGATGTGGAAAAATGTTTTTTTTTACAGATAAATAAACTTGGTACTCAGAAATTCCCCCATCCTTCAGTGCAGACAAATAGTTTGTGGCCGAAATTCAGGTGGCTAATACGTTCAGGACATCAATATGGTAGTTACGCAATGGGTAGAAATTCCCCAAACATAAACGGATACCTTAGAAATGGCCTCAACCCGACTAACTCTTGCAAGGCCCAGTAAGACCACTCTCGTCACACCTGATCATCACTGTCACGTCCACTTTTGAGCAGGTTCTCTGAGCACATGGACAGTGACGGCCATGACAGCCACCAAGAATGCAGGTTAAGTGCATCACGGTGGATGAAACTAGAAATCATAGCTAATCGGATAACACTAGGATAGGTAAAGACTACGGCAAGCCAATATTTCGGAAAGCGCACCCAATGGTCAGTGGGAGTTGCACACCAGTCCCTCACTCAGTAGACGATAGTCATCAATCAACCGAGGATTTAGCGCTCGAGATTATATCACCGGTCGACCGGATGCATTAGGGTCGAAGATTTTCGGGTAAAACTTGGTTCGGAAGCCACGGTGTCATCATTAAGAGAATCATCACCATCATTGTCAGCTGTAAGAACCGCGTACTGGTCGTACACTGGTTGTAGCTGCCACAGTTTCGTTCACCGATGATTGGGGGGTAAGTAGCTGCGCATTGCACGCGCGAACTGGTAAATTGGTGCATAAATCCAGCACTGTCAGTGAGTTGTCAAGCGGCCTTCATACTTCGCTGCCAAGTCATTGTTTGACCACCTCTGGCTCTCTTCCACCCTTCACATGGTTGGGCGAAAAGAGCCCTTCGAGGAAGTCGGTCGACTGGCATACGCAGCACGTGGCCAAGCCAACGCAACCTGTGCAGTGTGATCAGTTCATCTACCGAGGGTGGGTTATTTCTCCCGAATACCATTCGACGTACTTCAGAATTGCTAATCCGGTGTTCCCACCAGATTCGGGCAATGCTCCGAAGACATCGATGGTCAAACACTGAAAGTCTTTTGACGTCCTAGGCGCGCAGCGGCCAGGTTTCTGATCCATATAGTAATATGGAGCGCACCGCAGCATTGTAAACCCGACCCTTGACAGAGAAACCGATGTCACGCCTACGCCACAGGTGACGTAGGTTCGCAAAAGCTGCTCTAGCCTTCCCAATCCGGACGGAAATATCATCTTTCGCGAGACCACCGGGACTGATACAGCTGCCCAGGTAAACAAATTTGTCTACTACCTCAATCGGTTCATCCGCAAGCATGAGGCTAGGGTTCGAGCCCACCCAGTCTTGCAGTAGCACTTTGCAGGTGTGAAGCCCATACCAAACCGCGAGGCAGAATATGGTATAGTCATCAAAAGTGTACTTTTGCCTTAAATAGATGGTCCAGGGTGGGTTATCTTTGCACACACGCAGCAAGTTTTGCGCCACCTAGCCTCTTACCCTATATGTTTGACTTTATAGAACCCACTCAGTACGGTTAAGAGATTTGTTCTATCTGTCTGAAATTGCCCGCATTTGGGAGGGTGAAGAATCGCAACAATATAAACTTGGTATTGGTAACATATCAGGAGACATCAAAGCAGACAGCAACGCACCAGAAGTGACAAACGGGCTAATCAAACTAAAGACACCAGGTCAATTAAAACAGAGGTTTTCCAGGCGATCAATCTAATGAAGGGTCACTACCAGAATTGCAATACCCAATGGAGAGACCATGGAACGACCGGAAAAGAACTGCTGAACTGGTGGTGCCATGAGATGCAAGTTGTTCCGACCACAACGCAACACAAGTTCAAAACCGATCAATCAAATTACACACTGAACCTTACCTTAACAACCAATCACAATAATTGTACTAATTATTTTGCAGAAGCTATGGAAACACAAGCAGAATTGAAGGAACCACACACTCATTCGTGGCGTGACGATGTCTTAACGCACGGTGACGTAACGTTTGCAAGCTAATTACCAAGCAAGGCGAGCAAATTAGCCGTCACCTGATCAAAAGTCAATTAATTGCCTGGCACTACTCCATTGAGCTTTTCAAACACCCTTTTTGTCCTAAGTGATTCGGATTAGGCAACATTCAAAAGCAACCAATAACATGGGACGCAGCACAGACAAAGTGGTGGTTGGCAGTACTGCTCATAAGGTTGAGGGATACAATGTCCCTCTAGGACCCTTTACCATAACACGCCAAGTTTTCTGGTATTTTTCCTAGAACGAAATCGGTTTGCACGTTACATGTCTTCCTGGATCGATGACCTTGACTTTACCTGTGTCATTTGCTGGACACTGAAATTGCGTCAGTTTGCTTTTTATTTGCTGTTTTATACTGCTTCAACATTGAAAAGGTTACTATAGCAAGACAATAAATCTTGTTTATCCGTCACTGTTGACGAATTCCCAAACAGATGCTAATAGCATAAGCGTGGATTCGTATTCGCTCCCTTAGTCCACTTCGGGGTTTTGCGTGAATCTCCGTCAGCTTTCTAGTCCAAGTAAAACGCCTAAGGTTTGATTATCAGTAGACGTAACAAATGCGACTAGGTTATCATCAGTGAGGACTACTACCGAAAAGCCCTAATGATATGCTTCGCCCCTTCTGACCCTTCGCTACATTCGTCCGTTTAATACTTACCACTCTTGGGTTCTTTCCAGTGACACTTTAACGAACTCCAGTGTGTGTTACATTTTACTTGTAACCCCATCTTTTTAGACTTACACTGAACTTCTTCGTGTGCAGTCGCGTTTGTGTTCAATTTTGAGGCTACAACAATTGACCTGTAAACAAAGAATTATTAATGACGCAGTAAAACGATCTCAACTTTTCTACAATGCGGCTTAAGATCACATTCCGTCGGAAAAGTTATCTAACAACGGACAATCCTACTTATGTTTGCATAAATCGCGCAACTGTTGTCAGTCCAAGTTATTGAGAATTGAGAATCAAGGGGTTCTCTCGTCTGGCTTTGGATGTCAAACAATTAGTGAGTGCAAACAGTGACCTGAAATATCGAATGGGTTACGGAAACCTATATGAGGGCGGAATATTTCCGCTCGGATAACGTGAACTACATAGCGGGATAGCTGTTCAAACACTTGTTCACAGAACGAGAAAAGGTGGATACAGCACCTTCTAAACCGAGAACGTGTTAAAGGTCTTGGGCGAATCGCTCGTTTTGTAGAGAATGAAAATTTAAGACCGACCCACTTCCCTACAATAGCCTTAAAATTTGATGAGCAACTCGTAAACCTTCTATTCACTTACAAAATATCTAGTACCTTTGAGATGGTGAAGGACATTAGCACCCGCCTAATCAACGGTTGGCATGACAACCGTAGTAAGTTCCAACCCACAGATTTAAACCTTTAATTAAACTTTGCCGTTAAATCGTCAAGTGGGAATTCGAAAACCAAGTGACGTCGCACAGCTTTTTATGCTTTATCTTCAGCAGAGAGACCTCTACTGTCCACGAACATGGATTTAGAATATGTTCCATTAAAAAAGCTACTACAAACAACTGTGCTCTTCATTCTATGCACTGCCGGCACGTCAGTTTTACCAACTAGATGCCGGCGCGCCAGTGAACGAACGTATAATGCAACTCTGTATCACAGAGTTTTTGCTGTTTGTTGGCTATTACATCTACTACTCTGTTTCTCTGGTAACGGACTGTGCTTTTGATCAGTTGTTTACTGATTCGTGCTCGTCCGACAATACAGGCTTGGACTGCCAAGCTTTCGTCTTCTGATTCTCTGACAAAAGAGATGCATCCCAAAGCCAACTAGGAACACAAAAAAGCCACTGGATGCGTGGTAGGTCAGGTGGTGCCAACGTACTATTGGTCCATGGTTTATAGCTGATAAACTTAAACAAACTGAGCTGTGGTGGTGTACATCTGCGCCATCACTTTGTCCACTGTAAATATTTTCTATTTCATAGCGCATTTTAATCATCGAGAAAAAGCCTAACAGCTAAGCTGTAGGATTAAACCGTTCGCCTTCTACCAAGGCATAGGTGGCTGGACGCCCTGTACCCGTGACATTCGTGATAAGGAAAGTGTAGAGACTGTAACTACATGCCCTAAAAGGGCTTACCAAAAACATTTTGTCACATTCGACACCCGCTTCGTTTAAGAAACGTCAGAATAAGAGAGCCTATTGTGTCCTGGCCCAGTGTATGTGGATCCAGTTCGCTTCATCCAAATCTAACATTAAAGTGTCTGCACTATTGAGGCTTTATCAATACCGAGGCCACGTCATCCGTTGAAATGAAAATCACGCTAATGGATAGTGTGATGACAAATCCTGTCGACCGTTGATACCGTGGTTGCATAGGTCCTGAGGTCCAAGGATTTTTTCGAGCTCATCTGCTACAAACTGCCACGTTTCAGACGACGGAGTTCTGTACTTCAGCGACGTCTTACAAGTACCGAGCCCAAGTTCACTCGTTGCCAGGTTGCCGGAAAACTGCCATACAAACACTGAGTCACCTTGTAGTTGTGAACAGTACGGTGAGAGGGAGGTGAAGGGTGGTCCTTATGCCGCTACACTTAATGCAGCTCATCGTTGGGATGTGCGTTCAACTTGCCAGTTCCGCCGCATTCCTCTACTCCCACCCGATCTTAGGGGTCACCTGCCGCGCAGATAGTACAACAAAACAAAAACACTGCTGCTAGTTTGCCCACTGCATATACAAATACGACATAATCATCCTTCATTCAGTCGGTAACACCGTCCCAAAATATGTCTCCTGTGAACCCGGGTCAACACTTTTCTGAATCATTTCAGTAGACAAGCAATGTTTAAATTAAAGTCCGTTTCTGGAAATAATGAATTGAGCCCAGATCAAACAATATTCAGCAAAAGAACCGTTTTTTGGTCAGAGAACATATTTTTACAAATGCTACATTTTCCCTTTGAAATCATGGAGCTTTAGAGAAAATCGCCCATACTGGATAAGGACCAGCATAGAAATTTACTGGTGAAACATGGGTTCCCTGGGTAAGTACGGAAGCGAGGTCGGGTTTCAGAATAGTTGTGGCTAACCGGTTTATACAAAAGGCTCGTTACAATGGCTCCAAACCAATCCATTACTGATCTAAGTCTTCCATCAAGCATTTCGGCTAGGAAATACCTCCACCGTTGAGACAGTTTGAGGCACTGTTTTCCCATTCCCATTCTCCTGTGACTATACAGAATCTGCACTCTGGTTTCGGGAAACGCCGAATTTTCCCAAAGGAAAATGCCATTTGCCTAGATCTGCATGTCAAACGTCCCAAAGACGGTTTACTGTTAAAGCACTAATATCCTAACCAGCTAAATCACCAGCTCATATCTGTTCCCATTAGTATTGTGAGAAGTACTCGTGATAAGCAAGTAACATCACGGTATATGAGAAAGTTAGACAATCAGATAAATCAGTACAAGCTGGATCGGCGGCTGGCTAGCCAGTACGAAAATTTCCTGTCCGACTCGAGCGACAGAGTCTGATGAGAGACACGACGGTAACTTCCTCCGGCGCGTCAGTATGTTTAAGTTCCACACGTTCAATTTTATCGAATTTATGAGTTCCTGGCTTTTGTCACACTCTTCGTCCGAACTCGTCAAAAAAAACTGGACTTTTCGTTAACTAATTGCACAACAATTAGGGAATGCTCTATGTTTTGTCACCACTCAAGACAATGCACCCTCTCTCGGGAAGACAGTTCCACATTCCGTGTAAGCTTTCAGCTGTAAAAAAAACAGCACTGTACATTACGAACGAAGATGGGATCGATCGAGTCAAGATGATGACATCGTGTAAAAGGAGGTTTCGGAACCAAAGCATAGTCGATTCGACAGTGGCTAGCGTGACAGTTCTGCATTAAAGTAAGTCACTGATATTTACAACTAGAAACCCCGTCCTTCATTGGTAGCCTGTCCTTTGTTAGTCCCTATATTTTTGCCGCTAAAGAGAAATTAAAAAGTTGGAAATCTAACATTAAATATGGTTTCCGGATCTTGACAAGATACTTGGACCATCCAATGATGCTAAAATGCGTTTAGTATCATGGATTCGGAGTGGCAACCTGTTGGAAATAGATCAGACATGGAGCGTATGGGAAACGAACCAATTGCAGTTGGTCGCGACAACCTGGGACGAACTAGGACAATCAGGATGGACAAACACTGCCACTTAGTGTGTAGGTGACAGACTGGTCGTCATGGTGTGCGTATCGATCGCACAATGTGCATCATCATCATCAGTTTTTTATAACCTGTGGCATGTTTGGTTGGTTCAGAGTGGAAAGGCGGGTTGCCAGATGCACATCGGGGGGACGAATATAATAATGTAATGGACAGAATATGGGTAACACAAGGCCTCCTATTTTCTTTCCGTTTTAATTTGATATCTGCCAATGCATTTGGGAAATATTTCCGTCGTGTAGGTGACAGACTGGTCGTCATGGTGTGCGTATCGATCGCACAATGTGCATCATCATCATCAGTTTTTTATAACCTGTGAATGGCATGTTTGGTTCAGAGTGGAAAGGCGGGTTGCCAGATGCACATCGGGGGGACGAATATAATAATGTAATGGACAGAATATGGGTAACACAAGGCCTCCTATTTTCTTTCCGTTTTAATTTGATATCTGCCAATGCATTTGGGAAATATTTCCGTCCGTTCAGTCGAAATAACGCTTTTGCTACCGTTAAGCTGACCATTTTTTATACATCTGTATCGTTGTCCTGGAGAGAGAGAGGTGGGGGGGTAGGTAATGCAGCCCTGAAATAAGCGATAAATCGATGAGTGCGGTATCAATATCTCACAAGCACAGAGCGCGCTACAACCAGACACACATGTTGCTCAATCAACTTGGGTGATCAGACCAAGTAACCAGAAAAACTGGATACTGTGGCGGGTGATGGTAGGTAAGCTGCATTCCTCTCCCTTTTTCAGTGCGCCTAGATATTCTCGACCAGGATCAGAAACAAGCTCGACTTACCGTGCGTAATGTGGTGCCTTCCGGTTAGATAACGCAATAAAAGCACTAATTTAACTAATTTGATGTTGCAACTTATGCTAATTTTGGTTGAATAAGATTTAACCATCATCATCATCATCAGCTGTGAGAAATCGCGTGCTTGCGGTAAAGTGGTTGCACCTGACAGGTTAGTCCGCCGGCGATTTGGGGGTGGGGTGGAGAGCTGCGCAGGGAGGCCGTAGCGGATATAATTTCTGCGTAGTCAGTGGAGTTTTATTGGGGAGATCTGGAGGAGAGCTCTCTGTTCGAAGCAACACTTTGAATTCACGAGAGGGGAGGTGCGACTGAGCCATGTCTGAAATTGTTTCTAGCCATTCATGTGCCCCGTCTCAGGGAGACGGTAATGATCAGCACAGCTGGGGTTGCTGGTACTGGTTTCCATATTTCGTTCCGACCTTCCGCGTGGTTGTGCGCAAAAGCTGTTCGAAGACAGGCATAGGGAGCACGTGATCAAGCCAGCACAGTCCATGGAAGGTAATCAGCTCATCTATCGTGGGCCAGTTATTTCTTCCGAAAATCACCCGACGCACTTCAGCAATATTGATCCGCTGTTCCAGCCGGACTCGCCAGACATCGGCGGTCAAATACTGAATGACGTGCGACTATCCTTTGCCTGGGGCTAACCTCTCGAAGTTGTCACGGACAAATTCAAACAACTTTACATAAAGCAACTCCTTTCGTTCACCGTGTTAGTGATCACAGGTTACACGGAATCTAGCTGTTGGCTTAAAAATCTGGTGCATTGTATTGTTTGTATTGGTACATGAAGATGAGTGACTCAAACAATCCAAAAGTGGTGATTGTCTGAAGTGAACATCAATGTACACACAGTGAAATGCATAGACGTAATACATTAATCATACATACATACTAATACACACTCATACATTACTCTTTGACAGCTCACGATCGGTTTCTTGGGGCTCATCAGGTAGGCACAGTCTCCGAGTTTCCGTCTACCTCATGTTCTACTTGAACCCAAGTTGCACGAAATTAGCGAAATACACTAATTTGCAAACCAGTTTGCTTTTGTGGGAGACTCATCTGGAACATAAACGAGAAAGGGATTCAGCTGGGCTTCAGGCGAGTCACCCGCAAAATCAAATTGGTTGCAAGCTGATGTATTTCGATGTGAAATTGCACGTCATTTTTGTTTGGACGGCCCTACTGATATCCTGGTGGGTCTACACAAGAGAGATGAAGCAAAGGGATTGAGTTTCGCTCTTGTTAGAGGGCACCAGCACGGAATATCCTTGGACGTACCGAGAGTTGAACTCCGTGAAGTGAGTGCGACATCACCAATCCATCGGTGTCAGCTGGACACACCTGGATTATCACGTCTGAGAGATTTTTCTCGTTTGCTGAGCTGCTCGAATGACGAAACAGTAACTATCCTGGTTGTCCCATAACTGGGACTCCCTGGTCAGGTAGTGCTCGAAAACTGCTAGAAATATATTTTCTACGGGCGATTATGTGGATACGGATTTGATCTCTTTTGTATTTAGATATGCTTACAGATGAAAACTAGCCAGATGCACTCGAAGTCTCTAGACCGATAACAATTGTTGACATCAGACAGCAGATAACTGCTTTTCTTCTTCAGAGGAACTGTCCGCTATAAGGATGCTCGAGTGAAGTGTGTTCGTTTGGGTGTAGCATGGGCGAAGGTCTTCGCACTGAAGTTACTTTGTTAGAGGGGGCCTTTTGGCTTCTAAAGAAAAAATTGTCTTTGTGGGTCAGTGAACGACAACTCAGACCATAGGATCTGAGAATAACCAGCAATCGCTTTGTTTCCATGTCATTCGGTGACTTTTGGGTGGTCAAACCAAGTACCATAATGATGCAAACATCACTAAACTGACGCCAGATTCTGCACACTAGGAATTGCACCCTTGTAGAGTTTGTTAGTGATCAACCTTCCGGGAACTTATGAAACCTATTTGGGGTCATTAGGCTTCCCATTTTAGCAGCGGTGGGGTATGTTATGAGTGTCCGTTGTTGTTGTTGTTAGAACAAAACACTGCATTCTTATTCCGGTTGCGTTGTGAATGAACGTGACTGCAATACATTTTATTACATCCAATTATTTCAGTTGTCCAGTAAATAGGCTTACCATCATTGATGGGAATCGGCACATGAAAGCACGCGCAAGTTGGCACATATTAAATCTGATCATAGCATACCTAAATGATGAAGACAGTTTCAATACGGAGTTCGTCGTACAAGCTGAATATTCCAAAGCTAACTCGTCTTTGAATATGCTGACTCCAACTGTAGGAACACAAAATGTCCAAGTGGCAGGAGAGCCACTCGTGCCGTTTTCACGTACTGTCCTTTGATTGGTTCACACAAAGAAAATCATAGAAACGAGAATCGGAGATTACGAGTAGGAAGGTCAACCGAACCAAACAATAACCAAACTGGTTGGTGTAGACTACACCAGCACATCTGAATATGACTCAAGCGCATATATCGTTAAGTATGGGGTTTGCTAAGGCGGATTAAAACAAGAAGGAGTGCGCTGGCCAGATCAAATGATACCAATAGGTCCGGAAGAGAGAATATTGGGCGACATCGTCTTGGTTTGAGAATTTTGAATGTCAAGGACAGTGACAGTGGAATTCATCTGCCAGACTACGAAAGGTACGTCGATGGTGATGTTGCAGAGCACAGGTAGGTCGGATGCGCTGCTTGGTAGTTGGTCTATTCGCCGAGCTTGACAGTTGGACTGCAAATTTTTCATCATCAACCGAAGTGAGAGGGTCTCAGTCAAGCCACGGGAACAGATCAACAACCAAAGGTACATCGTACGCAAACAAACAGAACGGAACGGCAACCAGTGAAAAACTAGGTCCATACAGTATACTCTGAATGGTTGTCTGTCTAGAAGGGTTTGGGGAGAAACCACAGCTACTGATCGTGTTCAATGAAGTAAACGAGTTGCTGAGAAAGACGTGAGACCCAGCAAAGCCATCTTCATTGGTAAATACCTCACATTATGCTGGGGTTAGCTGACGTGGTGGCATGGGTACGGGATTCGATTTTCCGGGGTAAATTTATTGGGGGTATGCTAAGTGGGGAGTTATGGACATTCGTTATGCATTATTAGAGAAACAACGTTTGCCTGACTAACACGGTACAAAGTCAACCAAACTAGATTTCTAGACCAATCCCCTCAAGTAGCAAGAAAGCAAATGCCCCCGAGCAGTGTCGTTGCTGGAATGATGTTGATCTTGTTGACAGTGATAAACAGAGAACAACCTGTACTTTTAATTACCACAGACATGGACGTTCATGATGTACCTCAATTTGAAAGAGAAAGATCTATTTCGATATGCAGTTTGAACCAAATTTTCAGAACAAAGCTGGAATTAGATGCAAAGGAGAGATGCAATTGAATCCTAAGTGATACATTTATATGGTTACGATACGGATGACAAATAATGCTTCAGATCGAACATGAAATGTTGAAGCTAGGTTAAAAACGACTCCTTGCTCACAGCTCTCGTACTTACCCCTCCATCTGGATCGTCCAATTTATTCGATAATTTAGAAACATGTGAAAAGTTCAGCATGACTGTTGTTTAAATTCGATCTTGGACTTGAAAAGGGATCCACATACTAAACGATAAATCACAATGAAATGACTTTCCAGGTTCAATCTTGCTAACTTAGGGGGAAAATTTTAGCGGGTGGAAACGACACTCGTATGTGAGTCGTAACAGAGATAGAAATGATCATACCGAAATTCGTTTGCTATCGTTAGGCCGGTAAGTTACAACTTTTCTGGATCGTACTTTCTGCAGCCTGGGACAGGATATTGATCCAGTTCTTTGACTGTAAATTCTTCTTTCGATGTGGAGTATGACAAATGCAGACGCCTTTGTATTTTTGAAAGAATGCGATGTGCTATTGTTTTACGGATAGTCGCTGCAGGCAACAGTACTTTGTGTATCGGTTGTCTGTTTACCATAAGTAAACACAGGGGACGTGAAATTCGCTGCTAACCAACGGACCTGATGTATCATTTAGTCACGCGTAACCATGTAAGCCACAAAATAAGATATAGCCACACAGGATAGCAGTCACCGTTTCGTAAAGCCATCGGATCGTTGATGATAATTTGCTTTGAGAGGTATCAGGTACTTTATACTTTATTCTGATCTTCTGGGGTGCGTTGACTGCCATCGCTCTCGCTGGATGCCATCAACAGTAAAGAGATAGAGTTTGCAGTGATACACAAGAATATCAGCTTGGAAGTGGGGGATATCTGATAGATGATATCTACTTTGATCGGTCAAATTCCAAACAATGACGTTGCAATCATCAGATGTCGATTATGACACAAGACTTAGCTCACTATGTCAGCACTATATGCTGACTGTCGGAAGACGCACGGCTTTGAAGACATCTTCCCAGTACTCAAGGTTAATCATTACGCTTATAAACCACATGGACTTACATTCTACCGAAAATTATCCGACCATATGCTTGTATTTCTTAGGATTTATTACATACCCAATTGTCCCGATTGTCATCCTGGAAACTGTAGTAGTCGTGAGAAATTTTACTGTTGGACTGGAACTTAGCGGAACGGTCCAAAAACGTCAGAACATAACGGGCCCCCGATCCATAGTGGCAATTCTAGCCAGAATGATATCACTTCAGTCATACATTCCCCCACTTTGGTCAGGCTCCAGCATCCGTGCTCGCCAGCTGCGTTTCACCCAGATTTGCGGTACCCAAGGGATTGAAGGTTTACGCTTTGCTGTTATGAATACGGGCCAGTAAACATTCAACCAGCAGTCAAATTATTTGTCCATCACTGTTAGGATGTATGAAAAATCGTTTGGTCCAACAAGCGGGTACTTCCTTGTTTTGTCCTTTCCTGGCCAACCTCACGATCAACGCTTGACTATTAGCCAACAGGGTCATCGGAATGCGTTTCAAACAATGACTGTACAGCCACAACTTTTGTTCCTGTTTTTGACTTTGCTCGTTTTCCCACATTTAGGTGAACGTTTTGCCCTTTCCATATTCGACGAGTAGAGCCCTGAACCTCATCTATATTTCTTAGCTTCTGTTCACAAAAACCAACCAATGGACAATGCATGAGAACACGACAGGATTCCTTGTTTTTGAGTTTAAAATGCTGTATCGTAAACCTGAGCGAAACGAAGCAGTCTAACTTTGCGTTACCTGCAGCTGACCAGTAGTGCGGTCATTCTATCTTTAGCGAGGCCTATTCTCAGCTTCACCTTGGCTGAACGAGTTGCTGGTCGGAATACTTATGACGACTTTCTCCGAACATCTACTGAACCCAATTACATAGTTTTGCAGAAACGAATACCAACGGAAAGTTTGAGTCTTCGCTCTTCACATTACGCTCATGTTGATTCGACAGTGACGGAGAAGAAGCATTAAATAATCACTCAGCATTAAGAACTCAACAGCTTGTCAGGATAGAAAAATATGAGACAAATCACGTGCGAATCGCATCCTTCTTTTGACTACCCCATCTGTGTCCGTCACACAGGTCACGGATTGTGATCGCAATGAACACCGGAAAGCAGACATCGAACAACGCTAATCGGTGATCCGGCTCTACTCAATTTGTCGCCAAAATCCGTTTTCTACAGGTGGCACAGAAACACCGTGCAAAGTCATCTTATTGGGTTTCGGTTTGCACGGTGATGATCCCAGTGCCGTACCAGGTTTGGCTATCTGACATCAGAAAGCTAAGGCGTGTCTGGTAGACATACTTCACTAACGGAATAGGAAGTCTTGAACAAACATACCTATTCAGATGGCTAGTGCAAAGTTGTACATGTGTCATGATAACGCTTAGCAACACACGATGGATTCGCCCACAGGGTCACTTTCAGAGAACGACTTACGTGTTAGAGACGACTACAACACTACACAGCCAACCAATGAATTCTACACAGACATGTTGGATACCTATTCTGTGACAACCGAAGGAAAGCAAGTAACCACATTTTCAATCCACTCGATTCGCCTAGTTCGTAAATTTTAAGCAATCCCTGTGGAACTACAGCTGAAGGCAAGACAGTCGGTGTCAAAATTTGTGCGTACTTGTTGCGAGTTAGTAGCACGTTTCGGCCTCATTTTTGAACTCTCGTGATTACCAACCCGGAGTCGCACACCAAATTTCATTAAGATCAGTAGTTGCAAGCTAAAGCCCGCATTCAAAACACCGAATACAGCTGACAGATGTTTCTAAAATCGAACCAACTCAGGCAATGAAGTGTACGTTGACCGAGCGACTACGTCCTGTTTGTATGATACAAGTAATCGTCTAAAACTACGCCACGCCGTGCACTCGTCATTCGGCACACTGTTTTGAGATCAGTTCAGTTTCTCGGTTATAAACCATGAACCAAATGTACGTTGGTTCTGGCTGCTACAAATTCGGTCACCGGAAGATGGTGGAGCGTGGAAGATATAGGCTAGCACCGGAGGCGATAACATGATCAGTCAGTTCGGTAAGCGGCAGCAACGCACCGAAGGTGGCAGCTTTGGTGCAGGGACGCCACTGACTATGTGGAAGCGTAGATGCTATTAACCATTGGTGAGCTGAGTACCAGGGAGGCTACAGTTGTTGGCCCGACTCAGCTTACTGGTTAGTGTTTTAATACTCCGTTACCAGGTCCAACTCTCAGTAGCCTCTGCTCATACGATTCGGCGAAAAGAGCCATGCCAGGCTGAAAGTTCTGACATACGAGGCACATCTGACCAGCGTAGCCTGTGAAGCGCGGGTAATTCATCCATCGTGGAAAAGTTCCCTTACCCTACAACTGCTTGGCGAACCACGACAGTGCTAACCTGATATTCCAAACATACCCGGTCAATAATTTGAAGAAACCAATGATCAAATAAAGTTTTCGTATGTCTGCACGTACAGACTACGCTTCTTATCCATAAAACAGTATGGAAGGCACTGCCGCAGTGTCAAAGGGTGTCCTGGACTCTCTTATTAGTGAAGTAATCTCGTCTCCAACCAGTCTATCGACACTTATACCACTGCCTAGGTAAACTAATTTATACACCACATCGCTCGTCCGCAAGCATGTTGATCCCACATAATATTCCAGCAGCACTTTAACCTAGGGGTGTGCAGCGCATAGCCGACTGTGCGGCAGAATTACTTGGGCTATCCAAAATTGTTTGCAGAGGATACAACCCTCAAAAAGCGCATCCAGCACTATAAGCTAAGGTGACTTCGTCAGTGTCAAGCATACGGAGTTACCGCCTACGGAGACAAGCGTTGTTTCCCCTGCCTAATTTGGAGTGGCGGAAACCCAGAGATGGGTAGGATCTGGCATGCCAGAAGGGATTGAAGAGTGTTAGGAAAAGTTTGGGTGCCGTCAGTGTTGTTTGCCGTCCAAGATGGAGTCCACGTGACTCTCTACGCTTGGCCGGAGACCCTGAACCCTATGACAACCAACCAATGTCAGTTACGCTCATGCTGTCAGTTTCCATTCACATTGTCTGACTGGGTGCGGGAGGTGTAGGCACCTCGAATGTTTGTGGTAGGCGATGAGGACGTCAAAAGACTTTCAGTGTCTGACCATCCATGTCCTCCTAGCATTCCCCGAGTCTGGTGGGAACATCAGATCAGTAATGCAGAAGTGCGTCGAATGGTTTTCGGAAAAAATAACTCGTCCACGATAGATTAACTGATCACACTCCATAGGTTGTGTTGGCCTGGCCACGTACTCAGTATGTCAGTCGACCGAATTCTCCTCGTAAGGCTCCTTTCGCACAACTACATGAGTCAGGCGAGGACAAACAATGAATTACCAGCGAAGTATTAAAGCCATAACAACAATCTCAGCTGCGCCGGTCATTGCCGTCTTCCAAGGCCCTGAGAGTGGACACATCAATGTCTAGACATTGTCAGACATGGACCAGTCCCTCACTCAATGGCGCTCGTGCACCCAAGCCATTGCATTCAAGGCACAGCTCCCCCCCCCAATCCCTCAAGTAAAAGTCTACCCTGTATTTACGCGCCAATTATATCAGCTGCCGCCTTCAGTGCGCAACTACCCGCCATCATCCCCAATCATTGGTGAACGGAACTACGGCAGTTATAACCACCGTACGACAAGTATACGGCTCGTACAGATGTTGTAAGCTAATACTAGGTTGCCCACTCGCGCAGTCAATGGCGCTCATGTATCAAAGCTATCGCCCTCAGATCGTAGCTACTCAGTTCCCAAACTAAGCAAGTATGCCATCGTCTCCAGGACTGGTCGTATGTCCCACACCCTCCGGGTGATCGAGACTGTAGCAGCCGGAACCATCGTGCCTATGGCACACGGTTTATAGCTGATGGATAGATATAGATAGTTACAACAAACAAATACGTGTCTGTCACTCCATATGCGCATATGGGACTTTCGTGTTAGTTAATGCAACAGGCATTTTGAGCCTGTCAAGCAGTTTCTAGTGAAGTCGTGGTCACATCATTTTCATTTGAACAGACTCCCATCTGTTCTGGTGCGAATAACACGGTGAGTCCGTGCGAGTGTTGGAGTCCCACTATCGAGGTTCGTTTTTACTAGTAAGGCTGCACAGAAGTAGTTCAATTGTTACATCTTAACACATGGAGGTCTTCACATTTCAGAGACACGTTTATTTGTGGCAGCTAGATACGAATCAATCAAGATGATGGGAGGATCATAAACCTGTTGAAAACAGTGTTTTCATCAATCAGGTCGAGGATCTCAAGGTATAAACTGAGGACTATTCGAACTAGTATAACGCTGAGAATATAAAGTACAACCCTTTCCCCAGCGTCACGGTTAGTGTGTTCCAACCCACATACTATGGTGGGTACAAGAAACATTTTTACTCTGTACTGATTTCGTTTAGCGTGCAGTTCTCTAGAGAACTGGGTGTGGCTTCTCTGGATGTAATAAACCCTATAAAAATTGGCGGAGAATATCCAACCCGGACTCACATACAAAGTGGTTTCCCTTCGGAGGAAGGTTCTTTCTGGGGTGGCCACTGAACTGATCGGAAAAGCGCCACATTGGCGAATCAACTAGCAAAGAGCCGAAGCTGTTGTTGCTCGATTACTACAGAAAAGGATATTCAAAACCATGCGACAGGAGCCGTTTATCGGTAAAAAAGAGAGTTTGATCAGCTTGGCAACATTTTGTAGTTGAAAACAGACCGGGAAAAACAACAGCAATGAGGCGGTCTATGACTTTTTCGGTGGTTCTTCCGTCTCTATCTGTCGTATGACGGCATCCACTTCACTCTGATTGATCAGGCGAACGTAAGTTTTGCCACCGCGCCGTTGTAGAACACCCAACTCGACCTGAACGAGCAAAAAGAAAGTTTAAGCCACAATGGACGATATGTGGAAACACAGGCACGCGCGATAAAAACAGAACTAACATGACACCCCATGTGCTCCAGGAAAGAACAGTCAGCACAGAAAAACAGGCTGATGAAAAACAGTCCAAATAACCAATCAAAACTGGTATGGGACTGCAACCAGCAAATTCTAGTACACCAGGAGTGAACCCTTAGTCTTAGTGTCAATGCCTTCTGCGCTCGAATGTACTACGACATTCAGGGTTGGACTGTGGTTTTCGCGTGTAAATGGGCTTTTGGTTTACTGTTCTGTTACGACATGCAATTGGGACACAGCTGTTCAATTTTTTGAATTTACATCCATGGATGATTCATGTAATGTAGGTGAGACAATCAAAATAAACAGAAATAACCGTTCATCTGTAACACCCTTTAGGTGCCTAGCCGCCACGTCTCCTCGAAGGAAGCCCGGGGGCAAAGGTACCGTCAGGTTAATTAAGCCCAGACAGGGGCACTCGAGATGTCAGGGTTGGGTTCGAACCATGGACCTTCCGGTTACCTCGAGACAATAAACCAGATGACTGTAGCGCTGTTGGGAATATTGAAGTTAATTTAGTCGATTGTTTGTTTGGGTGCGTATTGTACTGATCAATGAAGGCAATAGCTTTGATGTCGGAGTGCCTTTTAAGTCACTGTCAGTGTCCGTAACTCTGAAAACGTTGGGACGTGACACAGTCTCCACTGTTGAAGATTGTCGCCATAGGTTAATAAAGTGAATAAATTATTGTCCATACCGACTGGCGAAATTCCTGACGCTTGGCAAAGCAGGACCAGACCAGGTAACACACTCACTTTATCTGACGTAAGCTTGGACATTGTCATTGTTTTGTGAAGTGACTTGAGGCACAATTTGATGGCCTGTTCCGTCGTGCATTGTGGATCATAATCTTGTTCGAGAATTGATGAAGCAGCGGCAGAGTTTGAGCCTATACAGGCAGCTTTCCAGCCGAGACAGTTACCAGAGGGATCGGTCTGGAAAAGCTGATACCCGTGACGATCATCCCAACCAATGAATAACATGGACACGCCGAACGGTCTTCGTCCACCATACATAGTATAGCCATGTTGAAGATCGCAGATATGATACACGAGTTGTTCCACTGGCATTGGCTCTTGATAAGAAAGCAAGTACCTGAAGGTAAAAGAGTAGCAAATACCTGCGGTCGTATAATACAGATTCTCTAATCGTATTGTAGAAAATAACAAAAGCTTTCACGACATCGAATGTTCACAAGGACTAAATTGTTTCTACTGCTGAATACACATAACTGATAATTAATAACGCCAGCTCATGAAGTAGCTTTCGAATGCAAAATAAACTCCAAAAGAATAAACGACAAAATGAACAAAATATATTTGATGCTCAATGCGTGACCAACGGTGGATCCATGGTAAAAGATAGAAGGATCTATATATTGCCCATCGATTCCCCCGTTTTTTGGAGGATCCTTTTCATTCGAGCAGCCTGGTGTGCTTCAAACAACAAATAACCAAATCCACATCCCTAGAGTTATTCCACGTGGCCTCCTAAGTTCCCCATAATCACCTTTCGGTGATTAGTTGCCATGCTATCCGAATGAGGGGCGAGATACTGTCAAATTGGCCAAGCGTAATCGAGATGCTGAGGTCAGATTCGAACAGCAGACTATAAGTCCGAGTCTTAACCACTGGGTGGTCTCGGGCTTCAAAATCCACGTCTTTATGGAGTCTATTATAAAGAACAAGAACGTAAGACGATTGGCACGCCTGTTATGCAAAATGAATGTAAAATAGCCTTAACCATACCTCCTGCATTCGCCTGTTGCCAGCAGTGGATCGAAGCCAAGCGAACAAAACACTCTATCCACTACCTAATGCAACCCACTCATTTTTGAAGCTTCGTGCTAGCCATCGACCGTACTGTGTACTGTGCATCTTTGCATCATATACAGCCTTTTAAAACTTGGCAAGAGTAGATGTCATCATCATTGACAGCACAACACCAGTATTCGCTACCGTACAACCATGATTTATTTAAACGCCTTCTTGTGGAGAAAACAATAAAGCTGAATGGGGAAGGGGCTTGGCGCCAACTTAAAACAATTATTCTGATGTACACATGCAACAGCACAAATCGGTCACGTGTTAAGGACTAGTTCCGAAAATTCGCGCATACCACCACCATTATTTACCTGATCAAATAGGAATTCAGTTTGTTGTGATAATTTTCGACTTGATATAGACTGATGAAGATGACATGTTAGTACTAAGAGAAGTTTTGTGTTTCTTCTACGTGAGCAGTGCGACAGAATTCACCAGAATTCGCCGATAACCTACAAACGGTTTTGTTGCTCCTGGTTCACCAGCTGGCCGCCGAATTTCCATCAACCAATCCGCCTGGCAATTCACCAACAATTTGTTTGTCCACCTAGATGGAAATACCGGAATATGTTATCGTTCGTCCACACTAAAACGCGCAAAGTTAGACGCAGTAAAGCTTCCTTTTTAGCCGGTTCCGCCAAGTTCTTGTCGTGAACTTTTCCCAGGTATACAAGTTTTCGGCAGCAACAGGTAGAACATGCGTATTGGTCATTCGTTTTGCCCTCTTTCTTGAGCTTCGGTGCAGGAGCTTTTCCCTCCTCAAAAAGAACCACTAACTTACGGTGCATACCACTTGTCGACCACGCCAAAATAGTTGATGTCTGTGATTCAACCATAAATTAGCTGATTCCACATTGAAGAACGGTAAAACTAACGTTTACCAATCACACGGCCGATCCAACCGAGAAAAACGACCTTTGTACGCATGACCACGAGCCACACACAGCACATCGGTTGCTTCCGACGGACGATTATCTTTAGCAGCGACAACGCTATCGTACGTCACAATACATTGAAGATGGTGTTCTTCGAAGACGGAGCCAACATGCCTAACAATTTCTGTGTGTTGGTTTTTTCCTTGCCTCCAGGAGGTCGGAACAAAATATTTCCCTTTTCCGACCATAGGCGAGCGAAACACTCCGTTTTGGAGAATCATTATCAGACGGTGCTTCCAGAACGTTCACATTAAGGCGGAAAGTCTGAATGCAATCCGAGTCTAAATCCAAATAGGCTCCGAACAAAAATAAGCAAACTCCAATAATAGTTCAGCTGTATTCTCAAGTAGATCTGAAGACATCTGAGTCATGACCTTGTCAACCCTTCTAAAGTGGCAGAAAAAGCATTCTCTATTCTTAGCGAAATGCACTCATTTGCAAACCAATTTGTTTTTTTTCGAGAGACCCACCTGGAACCCAGCTGAATCTCTCGGTTTTGATGTTTCCATTCTCTGTTCTCTCACTTTTATAGCCGAACCACGGAGAGACGTAAATTTTAACCTAAACCTATCATCTGGTCGTGGTGGTTGGGCTTCTGTGCTGCAGTGATCTAGAGCGCTAAACTGGCTGGAACTAACTTTTTAGAGATTCAATCCTGCCAGGCAAGCAACGGGGAGCAGCCCGATGAAGAACAACGGGTCTCCGTATTGCGGTCTGGAGGTAAACTCATACAGTCCTCTGTGATAAGGGTGTAAGGTGTTTCTCCCAGGCGACCAGCATGTCTATATTTATGGAAATAGAAATGCCACCTTCCCCCGAGGAAGGACGAGTTAGAAAAGATCGGCCCTAAAAATCGCATCCCGATCGTCCAACGGCTTACCGTGACCGACGGCACATTATTCAAAAAGGCCGAGCCGCATTAGGAGAGACAGTAGTGGCTTACTTCCTGCGTTTTCAAGTCAGGCCGACCCCCTGCAGCCAAGTGGATCAGACTATTGAGTCAGTGACTCCGGAAGGAGTCAAAGGCCAGGAGACGGGTCCCCAAACAACCCCCTTTCTTCGGCTTATGAAGCTAGGAAGTATCACTCGCCCTTGCATCTATTTGATCACCAGCTTCCCCCCACAACCCCTCCTCATCCATCGAACGATGCAATGTGATAAACACATCTACCAGTCCGCTAGCCATCGCTCCACGTCAAAACCATCGCCCAGAAAAATAAAAAATAATCATCTATTGAGCTCGAAAGAGCCGATCCACGTTGCAGCCTTCAATGTCCTTACTCTAAGTTAAATTGGGCAACAGGCATCCATTACTTGAAACCTTGCCTTACCTCTCTGTGGGCGCATGTTGTCTCCGAAACACGCATACGAAACCTCACTTCGGTCGTCTGCCTCAAACCGCTTAGTACGAGCCCCAATGTTCCCGAATGTACTCTTCGGGTATCCGGTGATCCTGACGCAATGACTCGTGGCATCTACGGTGTGGGATCTGCACTCATTCCCGAAGCTCAATGCGCCTTACTGGACTGGGTCCCAGTAAACAGCTGCCTTTGTGCTGTGCAATTGTCTGGTTCAATTAAAAACGATGCAGGTCGAAGAGGCATACGGCGTTCATTTGTCGTATCAGCGTACCTCCCGAGAGAATGCAGCTCTGGGACTGGGGGTCATGAAGATTTATCGCAACTACTTCGGCCAGCAAGAAGGGCGGACACAGTAATCTTTGCAGGTGATATGAACGCCCGAATAGGACGAATAAGTCCGGAAGAAGTGCTATAGCCTGGTATATTTGGATTCGATGTTCGGCGTAAGGATAATGAGGAGCGACTGCTTTAGGTGTGTGCTTATCGTTTGTTTTTGGCCATAACGAATTTCCAGCACCAACGCTCATATCAAGTTACTAGGAAACCACCAACCACAAGAGCCATAGACTCAAATGGACCGTGGTTATCATTTACCGGCGCAAGCACATCATGTGTAAATAATCGTGGCATCGGTCTGGTATCCGTCGCACATAAGGTGCTCTTTGACATTATTTTGCGCAGTTTGGTCGATTATGGGGAGAAACAGATTCGTAAGATTCAAGCTTATTTTCAGCCTCGCCGAGCATGCATCGACCATATCTTTACCTCGAGACAAGTTCTTGAACAGCGCTACTCTATCAGACGTCCCACGCTGGTCCTTTATCTGAAAACTACTTTTGACTCTGTCGACCGTCAGAAACCTTGGCAGTGTTTGGCGAACAAAGTCGTTACTTTCGAATTTATATCCCTTATGAGGGCTCCGTATACGAACTCCAGTGGACACGTACAAGTACAACTCAAGTTTTCGTTTGAGTTGCAAACTAGGAAAAGCGAAGGACTATGGTTTTGTTCGGGGCCTCCATTTCGCACATTGTAGACGCCATAACCAACGCGCACATGTGCATAATTTCTTTAGCTTTGTTTATTGTTGGTGCCGATATCTTCTGCAAAATCATACATGGTGTATAAGTTCCCAGCTAAAGTGGTGCTCTCTACCAAGAACAGGAATTAAAAGGTGCCTACGTGTCCCGGAGACTGAAGACCCGCTTTGTGCAGTGGTGTATCCCAAACTAATTCAGCCAGTGCAGATTTTAAACACGCATATGAGTAACTCTGCCTCCTATTCGAATTCTCGCTCACGCTTCCGAGCTACTTATCACATTATATGTAGCTACACCGATTTGAGCAGAGCGCCTTGTGGAATACTAGTGTTGACCTACAGTTCCCCGCATGAGCAAAGCAGTAATGCATCTAACATGACTCGATGAAGTACCCTCTAGGAATTTTCCTCTGTGAACAGAACGGATTTACCGGTTCATGTATGACCTCATAGGGCGGCTACTAGGGTCTTGCAAACTAGGAAAAGCACAGATTTGAATTTCTGCTCTCATTGCGGGGGTCCAGACCTGGGCACAATGCTTGGTGTCAAGTAAAGAGACGTCAGCACATAGAGCGTTTGCAAGGCAAACGAGGATGTCAGCAGACTGCGTACTCTATTGGTCTTCCTATACGGTAAAACAGGGATGGGCTTTAAGTTTGAGATTCGGGTTATCGGCTCTCCAAAAGTGTTCTTGAGACAAGCGAGCAGACAACCACCCAGCTCGCGCCAGGATCTGAGGCACCATTCTAGTAGGGTGCCCAGACATGGTAACTGCAGTCACCGCAGGAGTTCGGCAAATTCTCCAAAACATCCGCTTCAAGTCTCAAAACAGACCTCAATACTCCAAAAATTTAATTAAAAAAAATTAATTAAAAAACCTACCGTTGAGCGATTAGCCGCATTTCATTGATTAAGACAGTGGCGTCTGCGGTGATTCCGGCTACCGCGCAGGCGATATCATCGTTAATCTTGTATATCTTTTCCGAAAAAGCCGTCTCATCGAGTAAGTTATTAATGAAACGGCGCTCGGCAGCCAAAACGATTCCGTCCGACGCAACAATGCCTAAGCAAGTGCCAGCATGCCCCACCGCCTCCATCGCATATTCCACTTGATACAGTCTACCTAAAAAGAGTCCAGGTAGGATGAGCTTCCAAAAAACAAACCCTCTGGAGAAAATATCGTAGTCCGTGTGTCATATCTTCGTGCCTAACAGAGGAGAATGAACGCCAAACCATGAAAACCCACCATTGTGAGAAGTCGGCGACCGCCACGATGCGCTCGAAAGCAGGACGCCCGAAATGCTGAATGCTCATTGGTCAAATTTCTTGGGGTAACAGGCAGTCCTCAAATCGACTCACACTACTTCTCGCAGGGTTAGCAACAGTAACGGCTGAGGATTCTCGCAGACTAATGAAGTCATTTGGGTTGGATAACTAAAAAGTAAGTCACCGGTCAATCAAAAAGCACCGTATATTCCGTAAATATACTTCCGCATTTCGTCTCATATTTGCCGCGCACAGCAAACATGCTACAAATAGTTTGTTCGTAAGTGGAATGTTATTTTGGAGGAGTGTATGCCAATTTCTCAACTTTCCTTTAAGACGCATTAGGCGGTAGGACAAGCTGCGGTATGTTCGACAGCTTCAAGAATACATGAAGGCCCTTGTCTGTATTTGTGAACATAACAACAGTGGCTGAGAGGTTCAACAGAAACCCGAAGACTAATTTACAGGTTGCAAAAAGATCCCTCTGCCTTTCGGGTTACGTTCCGCCGGTGTGCGGTCGGAAAAATTATAGGAAGCAGCCAGATTCGGCCCTTTATTATGACAAAGCTAGTGCTGCGGTTTTTATTTCCGACAGAAAGCATTTCTTGAGCACATCCGGAAAATTCCACCAGCTGAAAAAATTCTTGGTTTTGGAACGTCGCGTCATAGCTACACTTGAGAAAACTCCGCAAATTATTCAGCATAAAATGGGCCAATAGGCTTTTTAGTCCCGCCGAAAGCACGCACCCACAACCCAAAAAGCCTCAGCAGTCAAGTCGAACACCGCTGGTCTTTTAAGGCCATCTTTGTAGGGCGTATGGTATAGCTTCAGTTCAATAAATCTGTCAGCGACTCTAGCGTAATGGTTTACCATAAGCTCTCAGATTCGGTGTGAAAATTTTGCCGGGCTTGTACGTAGGCTAATTGAATTGGGCGTAGGTGCACAACTTCACTTATCAGTTTGTCATCTAAAGAATAGCTACAAGTTGGACACAGCAACACACCAAGGATTAAACGGACGCGAGGCCTGAAAGCCTAAAAACTTTGCACCATGCAGGAAATTCAGTCAGCGGAGTCTTTCCAATCACGCTTGGCTCACTGCAAGATAGCTCACACCGGGCCTATCCCCGTTCACTGCAGCCTGAAAGCCGAGTTATGGAGTTTCACATGGGCAGTGGGCAAAAGAGTGAAGGACTTCTTATGACATGTTTGAGGCGCGAAATTTGTGGATGTAGATAGATCCGCAAACGCTCATGAGCTACGTTGTGATAAGAGGGAGGATTGCAGATTAACTACCCCCAGTTAAACATACTATCTCCAGGTAGATAAAAAAAAACCGCTGATGATGCCAGTTTGTCGAATCCGTTGAGTTAAGTGGGCAGGAAATGGTTTTGGTTGGGATTTAAGAACCCTGTCGGAAAATGGCAGCATTCCGTCCGCGATCGAGGAGAGATCATTCATCGTCGTTCGTTTGTAGCATTCTTTCGGTGTCTATCAACTATCTCTCGAAGAAAGCGTAAGGGTGGTAACTTTGGCAGTGAGGAAAAGCAAGAGTGCCGGGGTTGGGTTCGAAACACGGACATTCCTGCCAGTAGTTTCACACAGTAACCTCAACAGTTGGTGACTCAAATACTTGCGTGTCCAAACTAATCTGTTCACAGGTTTGGGCGCGAAAGCGATCTTACCTATTCTGCAAACGTGGCCGATTGTTTTGAAGAATTCCACAAGAAATTAGATTAATTGAGCGTCAAATTTGGATACTACTCATTCCTGTATTTTCATTTTGCCGCACTCAATATTGAGGCATTGAGGTCCCTAGGTCTGAGTTTCCGAGCTACCCATCCCGGGAGCCGGCTATCGGCAAGTTGTCCTTCAGCGCAAAATGACGTGTGAGCAGAGATGTATGTCCATTCTGGTCGATGTGCTCCTTTAGGAGATGAAGACCGAACTTCAGCAACTGAAGTAATGCAAAAGGTTTATTAATTCTTGGTTAGGCTGTACGTTTTTAGAGCAGCTACTTTCGAAGACCTGCGTGGCGGATTCCAGCGGTCTGCCTCCATGGTCACAGACAAGTTAGATTTAATGCAAAGTTCTGTTGGTATAAGTGCTTCACGATTCCTCTCAAGCGTTGAATTAAAAAGGGGGGCAGTTCAGTGCCGTCGGTACCAAGGGTTGGTAAAACCCCTTATTGCCCACGAGATTTAGATGGTTGAAACCAACTTTCAGATACTGGGTTCGACCATGTATTTTTGTTACCAAGTTTGTGGTATTACATTAGGGATGGAATGCTTCCAGCATTTCGGGTGCAAACAAATTTTCGAGCAAAACCCACACGTGTCCCAAGAAAGTCAAGAGGTCGACTCGTGCTTGCACATGCACTTCATCTGGCTACATGGCGTACAACCGTCTTTGGCATCGTAGGCCTTCCGTTTGCATAAAGCGAGCCAAACCTTCACATATTCATAGCGTGGGTTGGTTTGCCATTTACTTGCGGTGACTAGCCGAATGCAGCACACCAGAGCAAGGTACATCTCCCTGGAGGCCCAGCCAGAGCCAGTGGAAAGATTTCACAAACATGAATACTTGGTCGACAAAATAAGGCGGATGGGGACACACGAGCCCGCGAGCAACACGAGGCAGCCAATAACGACAATATAATTGGTTATTCCGCCATTCAACCACCGGTCCGTACAGGCTGCCCCCAGCATTCGAAGACAATGTTCTTCAGCCTAGGTGGTTGTCTACACCGAATAGCGATGCCCCCTGTGGTCTCTCGGGCTTGTCGACTGACCCGACTGATTGTAGATTTTTGGGGAACTGAATAGCGTAACACAGTTATTTCTGTGACGACGAGCCTTGTCCGCTGTGGTGCAGAACAGCTGCGGATGTGGCCAGCGGGGGAGTACAGAGGTTCGCCCCGTAGATACAGCCTTTCTGCTATCAAGCGATCAGCCTGTGGGGCAAACTAACGGGCGGACCTCGACCAGTTCACGGAACCCCCGGCCAAGCATGTCTAGTAAGTCCTTTGAGATTAAACTATTCTGCCCAACTCCACAACAGACTGAGATTAATAAGTTGAAATCCAGCTAAATGTACACTTTCTAAGTCTCGCATTCGAATCACCAGAAGGCATCAACTTAATCCGATTTCTGGGTGAAAGTCCTCAAGCGCACTTTTGAGGCATCTCACCCGACTGTGCCGCTACCTTGAGGTCAGAGCTTGCGTGATGCCGCGATCCTGCGGGCTAATCAAGGTTGAGCCATAAGGACGATGCCAAGGGATAGCAGCCGAAACAATTGCAGTAAGTGTGAAGTATCTTTATTACGTCGTATGGTATGTATCCACTCGCTGAATAGTAGCACAAACGAAAACTAAGACAAGAGCCACAGCGCCATCTCTCAAAGTTATAGATGCTGCTCTGACTAAATGGATTCAACAGTGCATCTTCACCGGCTCGTCACCACATCGGTATCAATGAGCGTGCGCTGGAGACCCTCGAGGTCAGTGAATCTTAGGGATGTAGTTTTCGCAGCCAAAAAGTACGAGTGTTTCGCATACATCTCTCTTCAGCTTCAAACTCCGTTGCGTCCAAAGGTGCGTGTGATCACCACATCAACAGAGGCACCGATCTTTCATTTTCAAGGGTACGGTTATTGATTTGATTGCTTTTATAGGGGTGGGATGTTCCAACGACTGTATCTAAGAGGTTTAAGAGGTTAAAATGGTTTTAGCCTGTTTCCTTTCAGAATTACCATCAAAGTAAGGCGGAATGAAGTAAACGGCAAGCGCGGTTACCATCCACTACGTTTTTACCGGTGAACAGGCGCGGATATAACATAGCGACAACGATTATGGTGACAAAAAATATCTTTGGTGGTACTCTCTAAGATCTTCCTGCGCATTCCGACAAAATCAAGCTTACGGGCGTAAGGTCTCTAGTCGGGAAGATCTCCTAGCAGAATGATGGCAATTCGCATGCAGTTTGTCGGAGAATCCTACACCACCTAACGAGTTGCGCATACATAAGGGTGAGTATCATTCACAGATATGCAACGGTACAATGCATCAAGTGTTCCATAAATATTGCAGTCGAAGCGAAGAGATTGCCGTAAGCAAAAGTGTCGTTCCAAACTGCCGTAAGCCAATTCGTCTAACTTGCTACGTGGGACGAGCAGAACTGACCTAAACGCTATTTAACTATCCAAAAGGAAGGGGATATTGTGTAAATTAGAAATCATGCGAAGGCTCCATGGATCTAAAGAACATCGTGGGGTGTTAGGCTTTGCAACCTTCGCATTTATTCCTTCTGGTAAAGCGTTATTTACATAGGAACTGGTGGGGCTTGAGGAACTTAAATGCTCGCCCGTCCAAGCAAATAGGTTTATGCACTATAGGGCTGAAAAGAACAACTGGACTAGACCAACACCTCGTAAAATCGTTCATCTCGAATGTGCAACATTTCCGGTTAAATCAATTTCCTTTTGCCAGTTTTGGTCGGCCGGAGTCATGTTGGTGCTAACTTGAACTTGGATGTGCGCCACAAATGAAGGCCTACAGGAATTGGGCTGATTATAACGCGGTTTAATCTAGGTAATTTGTGTCCCGGAATTCTGCTAAAAATGGAAGCATTGTGGTAAATCTTCCCTGATACCATGACGTTTGCATAGGCTGGAAACTTTTTGTTTACTGAATTCATGTTGACTGCATAGGGGATGGAGTCTATCACAGTGTGCCTATACGCGAAAATTGTATTATACTGCATGGCGTCAAATGGGTATACATAGAGTTCCTTCTTATTAGGTTAGTCATTGTATGTAAAACTAACAGTGATATCTTTCACGCCAGGCTAGGATTTCTAAAGTTTGTGACACAATAGAAAGTTCGGCTACTCCACCTGCCTGACGGCATCCACCGCTGTCGTGCGATCAAGCTTTTAAGTCGA